CCATCGGAGTAATTGAGTTAACTGAAAACCAGTGTCAGAGTGTGTTTGCTTAGTCCAGTCAATCAGAAACAAATGCCTGGAAACAACTCTCCCAATGTGGTGATAGCTGTGAGCATGCACACATGTATGTACACAAGCATGGCAAGCAAGATGATGGCAACCGAGAAAAATGGTTCGTTAACGGAGTACTGTCAGACTACAAGCACCAACTTTGGCCCGGCTCATCCTTTGGTAGCATGTTCTGGCGGGGCAAACGCAAAGGACGATCCAGAAAAGGTTGCTTGCATCAGTCTTGTGGAAGTGATGTCTTTGCTTATCCATTCTTCTTCTTCTTCTTCTTCTTCTTCCTCTTCCTCTTCCACCCCTTCTTCTTCTTCCTCTTCTTCTTCCTCTTCCCCTTCTTCTTTTCTTTACTATTTGGTTTTTTCTTGTGTTGTCTCCAATTTCAAGACAAGAGGAAGGAGAATGAGTGAGTTGGTTGAAGGGAGGGAGATCGAACCCAGCTGCCAGGACTAGTTGCTGATGCCTCTCGGTACCAGAATCTAGATTTAAAGTCTGCCGGCACTCCAGGCACTCTTTCGTAATTTGACATTCTCCTTCTGGGGTCTTTGCTCCCGTTTCTAGTCGTTGCGGGCATCTTGCGGCATAAAATCGAGACCAACTGCACTGTGACATCCTGGCCTAGCACAGTTCAGTTTCAGAATCAGCGCGAGGTCGGCCTCTCTCTGCACTTGCGTCAAAACCTGCGCTGTTGCGGCATTTGCATAAGTGAAAATGTGCACACAGGCCAAAGGCAACAAATTAGGCTTCTGAAAGCATACTGCAACCCTCATGCAAAAAGACTCAAATTCTAAGCCGAAAAATGTAGCGTGTGGCCTTACAGAATTCTGACAAGACCTCAGCTTTTGGAGCTGAAACATGTCTGCAAACTCTGGTGGACACACGGCTAGCTTCCACACAAGCTGAATGCGTTTCTGCTAGGCCCCAGACCGCCTCTGTCTTCTCCAAATTTAAGAAGCCTGGATGCGCGTCCTCCTGAAATCACAGTGTGACTTGTGACTGTTTTCGAGCGTAGGCACCATGAAGGCACCACGAGGTGGGCCCAAAAAGGTATGATTTCAGCTCAAGTGGCAGAGCAGGCGGCAGTGGTCTTAAGGAGTTTTGCAAGGTCGCCAGCAAGCTTGTTGATCTTGGCACCTCAGAATCGGCTGCGAGCATGATGTCTCACAACTTCAAACCATGCAATTCTCATGACTTTTGCCCTTCTTCAAACCGAGCTTGTTTTCTCCTCATTCTGTCGCGCTTTTGGCTAGTTGATCTAGAATCTTCAAGAGCTCCAGGACATCAGGGCATTGCTTGTGCACTCCCACAGGTTCCAAGACCTCTAAGCAGGTGCCTCTGCACCCACAACTGATGAAGTGAGGTCTCGGCCTCGGCCTGTCGTCCTCAGCCTCGTCTTCAGCGTCTTCGCTCCAGGTGGCGAGGTCCTGACGCAGCCGCCGGACCCTCCGCAGGAGCTTCGGAGCGCCACCCGTGGGCTTCGAAGCCGCAAGGAGCTTTGAGGCTTCGAGCGCCACCCGTGCGTTGCGGCTCAGCAGAAGTCCTGTCAAAGCCTCCACGTAGCAGGTGTTTCCACAGTTCTCTGGGTGAAGCCACTGGGTCGAAGACTCCCAACCATCGAGCCGGTCGCCTCAGCAAAAGGATCGAATTCAGCTGGACTGGACCGACTTGTACTACTAGCGATGGCCTCCAACCTAATAGTACATGTTGAAGATATGGTGATTAAAAATGTGCTTGCTGAATCTGGTCGCCTTCATTGGCTACTTTGGGAAAACTTACTCAAAGCCTTCACACCAAGCTTCCACATCGGTAACAACCATGTCGTCGGCCTGGTGCCTGCGTTCGGGTGGATTGTATGGGAAAGAACCTGAAAGCTATCCTTATGTAGAGTGAGGTGGATGCAAGCTTTGACGCAAAAGTTACATTAAATACATTAAGAACCAGACAGAAATGCAAATTGTCTACAAATGCCTTGAAATGATATGCCCAAACGAAATGCGTTCACCTGTATCACGATCCAGACATTCGGGCCTGACACCTGTAGCAACCCTTGCAGTGACCAGCCAGGATGTAACCCTGACAGCCACGGCCAAAGCACTGGCAGCAAAAGTATCGCTCTCCATCCAGCACTGGACACCAAAATGGCATCGGGCGTAGCTGGCAAAAGGAACGCCTCAGATCTCTCATGTCATCCGAATCTATTGAGGATACTTAAAGAATGTGTATATATATGTATATATGTATATATGTGTGACACGTATTTAAAAATATATATATATATTATGTATATAATGACCCATGAAATCGTGTCTTGAGAATCTGACAAAATTCAACAAATGGTGTTCGAGGAGCCTGACCAATTCTGACATTTCTGTGCCTTGCTGCATGATGGAACGTAAGGTGCGCAACAGTTCTTGCACCATTTCATCGCTGCTGGACCATTTGCTTCCCAAGCATTCTTCACCAGAGAAACAAAGCTTGCAGCCAAGAGATTCCTGAGGCTGGAGTGACCGTTCGATTTCGTCCGACTATGGAGATCAGAATTGTCTAACGATCGTGGAACACACTGTCAGAAGATGTCATCGTGGCAATCATGAGCACCCGATAACTCAGATGATTCTTCAAGGGTTCTCGGAAACTGTTGATTCCCTGGAAAGAAACAAGATCGAGGACGAAGCCCGCCGAAAAGGAACAGGTCAAACAGCCGCAAGAGAAACAAAACAGCTTGTCACGCACTATGGCGTGGTCTGCATATGTGTGCGTTGTGTGCCCAAGTGCTTCAAGGTACCACAAGTGCTTCAACTGCTCGGGATGCTGTTTCTGGGCCAAGGAAGCGCTGCAAAACCTCCAAAGCCGTTTTGGCCGCCTGTGGCCGGCGGCAGATCTCAGCGCTCAGAAACCTGGATGGTGCAGATCTCAGCGCACAAACCCTTGAGTTGTAGAGAAAAGGTCGACATCTCAAGACCTGAGGCCTCCAACCTACTAGCGATGGCCTCCAACGTTAGAGAAAAGGTCGACATCTGAGGAGGCCTTTCCAGAACGCATTCGGTATTTTGCTCATTTTTCCTTTTGTTTGTGAAGTAACAATGATCTTTTCGTGGACTTATGGTACAGTGTACACTGACTTTGCATCAGTTTGTTTTACAATGATGCATAAATATTACTTTGGCCATTTTGATTCATTTTGCCCGTTCCTTTCCCTCCGAGCATGATTTATATCAAGCTCCTGGTCAGAAAACCAGCCAATGGAGATGGCTGGTGCCGATGTTTCTTCCAGATCACATATTGAAAGCGTATTCCTATGTGGCCTTAAAAACCGACACTTGTCCTGGAAGCAGCACCTATCTGGTGTGATCTTCCACAACTTGAAAAGCTAGTAGTAGCGATGCCCTTTGTTACTAGAAGCTTCTTGTTCCTAGTAGTAATGCCAGAAGCTACTAGTAGCTTCTTGCTTCTAACTTCCTTTCACTATTGCAAACTGTGAACCTGTCGAAATACCTGTTGAAGTGATCTGGATATTTATCCCGTGCACCATCAGTTGGGATCTCGTTCAAGGTGATCAAGTGAGCGTTTGCTAAAAGAGGTGGGTAACAAAGGATTTCGCTTTGAGGGTCGCTTATCGCTTTTCCTTTCAGAAGACTTTACATTTCACAACCACTTAAATTGGTCCTTGGTTTTGGGGTTCATATCCGCTCAGTGCCAAGGCGCTCTGTCACTTCCTTCCGGACAGCGAGATCAGCTGGCGCCAACTTCTCCAAAGCCTGGACGACGTCCCGGCGGACTTGGCCGCTGCAGCCCAGGAGCTGCGACAATTGTGGCCACAAGGCCTCTGAAGACGTCAACGACAACAAGGCCTGAGGGTCAGAAGCTGAGCAAACAAAAAACACCTTCACAGCCAAACCATTGTTTATACAAACACGTTTATCATGTAAAGAGTCAACACGTAAAAGCCCTATTTTGCAAAAGAAAAGAAGAGAAAAGAAAAAGAAAAAGAGAGCTCGGACTGCACCTGTAGAGCCAAGGATTGGACCTCGTAACTCTGACAGTCCTGCTGATCCTGGCAGGTCGTGTTGACTGGCTTAGACCTGAAGCAAAGCATTCGCGACTAACTTAGGCCGTACTACTACGTAGGAGCAAGGACGCTACTAAGGGCTCCTGGCCTTACGATGAGTCTTTAGCAGCTTGAGCAAATTCAGAAGCTCAAAGCCGGACCTAAAGGGCTTAAAGCACCCGTTTAGCACAAACTCGACAGCTTTCGGTCCTTCACAATCGACGCGAGGCTCTCGGTGATTTGAGCATTTCCAATGTCGCCCAATTCGCCAAGAGCCTTCACCGCTGCACGGCGCACGCCCTCGTAGTTCATGGTGTGCCTATAGCGACCCTTCAAGATAACCACGCGCACGACACACCAGTGTGCTGGGTCCTGCCCAAAGAAATGTGAGCTTTGAGGATTGCATTGATCAAGAAATGACAACAAAATACAACATTCAAGGACAAGAAAATGAATCAAAATAAAGCTGAAGCTTTGGCCAAGTGCATGCATCTCAAGCAGACGCAAGATCGCTTCTATGACTTCCTCATCACCGCGGTTTGCCATCTGTGTAAGCATTGCCAAGACGCTCACAACCACAGGGAACTTGTCGATCTCAACGCTCTTCTCTGAATCACCGTCTGATATGCGGGCACAAGATTGCTTCAGGAGATCAGTTGCTGCCGAAACCGCCTTCTGTGCCATGGCACTTTGCTTGGATAGCAGCTTTGGCACAAGAAAGAGTGCGCATTTCAATGGCTGCCAGGCCGCATATTCACCCGCCAAATCTTCAACCTTTGGGCGGGGCATATTCGGTACCTGGTGTTGCAAAGATTCTTCAAGATGTTCAAGGCGATCTTGCAAACTCTGCAGCTGTCTCTGCAGCTGCAAGGAGCGCAAGGATGGCAAATCACTCATCGGAGGAGTTGGCCGATTCAAATAGTCGGACACCGGCGACGGCGGAGGCCAAGGCGACCAATGCCAAGGATGTCTTCTTTCGCTCCTCTCGCTCCTTTCCGTCAATAGGGCATCCTCGTCGGAGGACTCGGAGTTTCGAACTGAGACCGTTGGACTGAGAACCACCTGAGAGCGTGACATGAAAGCTGTTAGGCTTTCAAGAAAAGCTCACAACGACCAGCACCGTCTAGCTTTGGTCTCTACTAGAGTCTTTCAAAAGCTTGGTCAGAAAGGGTCTATAGTGCCTCGGCATCTTCAATCTCACTGTCCGAGGGGTCGGGCGAGGAAGCAATGCTGCGGGTGCCTCGAGGCACAGCTTGAGCAGCCTGAAAAAGTGAAGCGGCTGGCCAATGCAAAACGTTTGACCCGCTTAGTTCATGATTTAGTTGATCCTGTGGTCGGCAAGGGGCTTTGAGGTGTATCCTCTCTAACACACTCGAAACACAGGTCGCAGAACAAGAAAACCATAAGAGGATCATCTACCAATATCTGTCTGCTATGCTACTGTATCTTCCATAATATGTTACTCTAGCACTCAAAGCGATTGGATGCTGTTACCTGAAAACAAACGAAACGCACGTGTGCTCGCGCTTTGTGCACTTTTGGTCGTGTGATGCATCCCAGAGCCTTACAATCTGGTTCGACCGCCAAAACTCCTGGCCTCCAACAAGATCTGAAGGAGGGCCTGCTCAGCCAGTCGCCGATTCAGCAAACTCAGGCTTCGCAGCTGTGGGGCACCCAGAAGAGAGCCTCGGCCGCCCAATTCACATAAACAAAATGCAAAACACAATACCAGTGTGAAGTGGATAGCAGTCATATATATATATATATGTATATGTGCAGTATGTTCCAAGAAACAAGAATAGATACTACAGTACTTACCACTCAAGTCTACTGGCTTTCTTCTGACTGTGATGGACGGTTGACTCCTTCAAAGCAGCATTCTAGTGTTGGCGAAGAGAACAAATGTGTACTAGTTTGCTTAAAAGGTCTCTTTGATAACATGTGAAATGGAAGAACGGAGATAACACCGGTTTTTTGCTGTGACTAATTCGAGGTGAGATGCTTTGCACCAACCATACGGGCAGCTCTGCAAGTTGAGCTCGATCCATGGCTCGCAAGAAACCAACTACGCTTTAGGACACTCGGTTTGGGAGCTGGGAGAGACAGTGGTTGTATCATGCCTGCGCTCTATTCGACCCATATATAGACGATGTGAGTCTGCTCGAGTGTCAACGATTTCTACCTCATGACTCATGACCTTTGTTGTTTGTGGGTTCAATGCGAGCTGTGGAGTCAAAGCTGTCAAACGAAACACGTGGCAAACGCCTCAGTCTTCGTGTACTCCAAAGGCACCAGCCTGAGTCTCCCCGCGTTGTGCTGCGTTCTGAGTAGCGTTGCGAAGGTCACTTTCACAGGCCATACGCAAAGCCTGGCGGATGTCTATTCAGCAAGCCCCAAGAATACCCCCATGACTGTGTGGACATATGAAGATGGAACATGATGGAACAATGTTTAATGAGCTTTGTCACTGCAGTTCGCTCCCCGTTTCACTCCTCCTCATCACTCAGGGCAACTGCCATCAGCTCTTGTCTTAGAGCAGCTCTTTTAGCAGAGAACTTCGGCACCTCACAACGAGCTGCGGAGTTTATCGACGATTGCCTGAGCTATGAAAGAAGGCGTACACTAGAATATGATGAAGTCTTCTTCTAAACTTGGCACCACATTAAGGTGGTTCACTTACCAACTTTCCATAGTCAGCATCCTTCCCTGCCTGCCGCGGGGAGGTATCCTGCTAGTGCGAAAAGGAATCAAAGCCAAAGTGTCAAATTAACAACCCAATTCCACACAAGAAGTTGAGAAACTCAGACAATGGGGCACTGTTGTGTGGTCGTCACTGTCTCACAAGGGGGCCCATTCTCTGCATGGCAGCGATTGGCGAATCATTCACAAACAGTTCTTGCTTTCGTGGGTTTAACTCGCACCAGGCCTCCTCAAAGTCTACAGTCTCCTTGAGAAGCGGTCTCTTCAAGACCAGCCATGGAATGTGTCTCATCATATCCAAATCGCCCATTGTATGCTTCAGAAAAATGAATCTTGGTCTTGTCCATCAAGGACACTTAGTCTCAAGATCAGTAACGGAATATTGCAACTGCCAAGTTGCCACGATTGCAGGCTCGCTGCAAGCAAGCGGGCCTGACCATAGAGAGCTGGTACTGTATTCATTCGATCGGATTTGCTGAGTCAACTTTGCAAAATCAGGAGAGGCCTGAAGTCTTCTCTCTCGTCTAGACACACGAAACAAGCTATAAACTCATATGACAGCATCTACTTCTAGATCAGGAACGAGAAATCTTCCAAGAAGCTGGTAAGAACAACCTTGCATGGCTTGTAGGACTAAGCATTGGACTGTCACTTGAACGACCTGACACGAGGCGTCAAGCTCGGTCAAGTGGGGCCAAATGAGGCTCGGTAGGGACTGTGTACAGCCCTTCGGCGTGGCCTCCTCTAGTGGGGGTAGGCGTCGCAGCCTGAGCTCACACACAAAGCGGTCCGCGAAATCCAATTGAGAAAGATTGAGAGCGGTGTCTTTTCTATCTTCTCTTTTTCAACCCAAGATTGTTTTGCTGGGAATCGTTTCACCTGTAGTAACAAGAAGCTTGTTAGGTCTTTGAAGCTTCTAGTAACAATAAAGCTTTCTTAGTAACTAGAAGCGACTAGGTGGAGGCCATCGCTAACAATAAAGCTATCTAGTTTTACCCAAGGGCGACCGATGCCCCGACCGCCCTCCTGACCCTGGCCGACCTTGCGGCGAGGCTTTGTGGTTTGCGCATCCAAATCCTCACGCACAGCCTCTGGAAGCCTCGGCGAAACGCCTTGCTTCTCGGAATTCACAAGTTCACGCAGGCTCATGGCATTCGAAAGGAAATCTCAAACTGTGAATTGAAAGTTAAGTTTTAGGAACAAACTTGAAGAAGAGTAAGCTATCCTGCGTCCAGTTGCTAGAAGCTAACTGGTCGCCCTAAGCTTACTTCCTTACTCAAATCAATTAGGCGCCTACTTACAGTAATTAAGTAGGAGCGGGCTTCGAGGCTTGGAAGGTGGGACCCAATTCTGAGGGCTTGGACCCGTCACAATCCAATGCCATCTTGCCAATGTTCTTGTTCCGGAACCGCAAAAACTCCTGCTTTAGCGAGAAACTGGAGTTTCCTGTGACACGAAGAGTTCCTTTCTTTTCGCTGTTGTTTTGTGTTTTATGTTTATTGTTTGATATATCTTGTATGGAGGGGTAGGTCACGCAGTGAAGACGGGGGGATGGGGGATGATAGGCAGCTGCATGTAGTAGGTATCTGAAAGGTAAGTCTGGTAAATTTAGTAGATTCGTCAAGGAAGCAACTAGATAGCTAGTATGGAGATAGTTTCTGTGTTGATACGTAGCTACATGCGTACCGCTACATACGGGACTACATGGGTTTTCTAAGTTTTCTCCATGCAAAAATCTCAGAAGAACCCGAAGTTCTTTCTCAAAACAGACAAATAGAAGCTATGGCATTAAAGTGGTTCGCTCCGCGTTGGTTCAACGGTTATTTCAGATAGACAACAAGGTTTGTTAAGTAACATAATCAAGTCTTATCAGGTTTATCAGTGTTTCATTATCTTTACTTGGGATCTGTAGACCTTTCATGTTGTTTCCTTCTTTTCTTTCTTGTGTGAGCTTTCCCACCTGCGTTGTACGTTCATCCACCTCTTGAAGCTCCCGACGCCTAAAGCAATCACGTCAACAAAATCAAACCTAAAATCAGCGAACAGAAACCGTGAACTACTCAACAGAAGCTTCAAGAATCCTACATTCACTGAATTCTTGCTCCTATTTGATAACTGTCATTTCCGCTGTTGCGTTGAGGAAGGAAGGCCGAGGAAAACCGACCGCGTCAGTACCGAAGCGACCTATCACTTGTTCCTAGTGGCGATGGCCTCCACCTAATAGCGTCCTTGTTCCTAGTGGCGATGCACTTGATTTTTGCCCAAGTCACTTCCTTTGAACAATCTCTGAGCGAGTCTCATGGCCTTGGCTCTTGAGCCTGGCGCAGCTAGAAAAAAAATGATATTTCTCAGAAGACGTGCTCTTCTTTTTTTACTCTTGACGAGTGGCCGGTGATGGTTAAATTAGAGCCTAAGCCTAAGCCAAGAACTTACGATGTTTGCATGTCAGAGGGTCGAAGGTCAAAGCTGTGCAAGAGACCTAATGGCAGGGCGTGTGACTGGCGACACTCCAGCATCCCATTTTCTTTAGGAGCAGGCCTTTTGACAAAAATGAAAATCAAGATGAACAGAAAAAGGCTTCGCCAGACAAGAGTAGAGCTGCACAGAAAACAGTTGAAGATGAGAATGAAAGTGAACAAACAACAGCAGCACGAGATAAGGCGCAACTAAAGCACTCTTCCACAAGTTCCACAGGAATGATGCCTGGTAGAGCCCAATTTAACTAGACCTGTCACAATGCAAGAAGGAAAGGCAAAGGTTATACGTTGCGGATGTCTTGTTTAGCTAAGACCGTCCCAGGGATCATGGAGAATTGATGTACCAGGCATCAAGCAGTAGCGCCAAGCTATCCACAGCAAGGGTGTTTTAATCTGAGACTAGCACAGTTCCAAGAAGGATGCCATCACCGGATCTGGGAGTTCAGGGTATTGTCGGATGGGCTTGCACTGAGTTCGGACACAAGCACGCGGTTGCTGCACCATGCTGAGCACCAAGACAACAAAGAAGGTATTGGTATGTACTCGCCATCAACTTGCTAAAGTGACAATCTGCTGATAAAATGCCGGTAGCTGTTTGGGTATACCGCAAATGGGCGGATGTGGGACGGCTGAAGCAGACCGATGCAGATGAAGCTAACACCAGGAGGGTCTCAGTAACAGTGCAGCAAACAATTCCCTTTTAAATTTTAACGGGCAGTCAGAATGTCCACATTGTTGATGCCTAAAGCGATCTTGCTTGATCCTACTTCAGGTTTTTAATTGCCTCTTTCTTCGCATGAGCGTAGGGCCTTGCCTTCCGCTTCATTTTCGGGCACTGAATCAAGTGATCACGGCAAAGCATGTCCAAGCGCACGTATCTCATTCGGGACCTTCGCAAACCCTCGAAATCAGCTGAGAGATTGCTCTGCCCCAGGCGCTCCTTCAAGCATCCCCTTTGTGGGTCGCAGGTGAAGGTATGCTTGTGTCTGTGGGCATGGAACCTATCAAGTTGATAAGGGAGAATCTCTACAAAGTTCAACTCTACAGCCACCATGTTCCATGCCAACTCCGAAGGCGGTGAGGAGTGCCGATTGTTTGAAGTGCAAAAAGGCTATGGCAGCAAAACCGGAGGTGGGCTTACACTGCCAGGAATGCGGGTTGCGCGCAATGCAGCAGGCTCTGCCAGTGAAAGACAAAAATCTCTACAAAGTTTCGGTAGATTACCAAAAGACAAAAGCGTATAAAATAAGCCTCGAAAAGACCCGAAAAGAAAAATAAGTTTCCAGATGTCTGGGGGGTTGTGCTTTTCATGATAGGAGCCAAGAGTCTCAGAATGTTGTAGTTCTTGCTTTGTCTATGTAAATTTGGATAGAATGTTCATGCAAAAAAGGTCATGTTAATTATGATTTTCTTGTTGAGGAGGGCAGGCCGCGAAGCTGGAGGTGATATGAGGTGATAGGGTAAGCTAGGTAGTAGTGACAGGGAGCTACAAGTAGCACAGACCCAGTAGCGCGAGGGTTCCTCGATTGTGGAGAGCTTAACCTTTAGACGCCGCTACGTTCCTTCTTTTCTGTATTTCTTTCTCTCTCTCCTCTCTCCCTCTCTCTCTCTCTCGAGTTCTCTTGAGTGCTCTCCTTCCATGACAGAAACTGCTGGGCAAAAAAGAACTGCCAAGCAAGTTCAATTCAGTTGCAAACAGCAGGAGCTAATCAAACAATCAAAGACAAAACTCTGCAGCAAATTTGTGCACCGGCGCACTTGATAGAATTCATCCGTTCCCTGCGCCGTTCGGAGGCCAAACGTTCCTGGAGAAACATGTCAATCCGCAGTCTCTTACACAAACACCTTGTCTCACAGTCTCACACCTAAGT